GCCCCCCTGGCCCTGCCAGTACCCATTGCTTCCAACCCACAGTCCCCACACTCCCAATATAGCCCACCCCACATCCCTGCTTATCTGAGACAGTGCCTAGGTCTGGGTCACTGCTGCAGCCTTGCCCCGCTCCCATTTGACCCAGCATGCCAAGGCAGTGTGCTGGGGCAGCAGGGGCACAGGGCAGCCACAGAGATGATCTGACCAGGTGCCAGAGCATCTCTCTGGAGGACTCAGCCTCCAGTTGTCTCAGGGCATGCTCCTGTGCCACTTTTTTCTGGCATGTTTTTTTTTATTTTATTTCTTTTTGATACCAGGATTTCCCAGTATCAAATTTAGAGCCTGAACTGCAAGTATGCAGTGCAGGGAACATTTCTTTGTTGTTGTTCTTAGTGTGCCTCTCACAGCATCTCAAATTGCTCTGAGGTGCTACAACAGGCACATGTGCTCATCTGGATGCACCCAATGAGTGCAAACAATGTCTTAGGTGGGCATTGGATGAGAGCTACAGTGAGACAGAGCAAAGGTTAAAGAGCTGGTGCAGAAGCATATCAGAATAAAAAAGACAGCAGAGCAAAACCTGTGTGCTGTTACTGATCTACTTCTGGCTTCCCAACCAACCTGCTGGGAGAGCCCCCTGGCATGTAAATGACCTGCTGCATCAGAACCACCCTCATTTTCCCTTTCGTTCACCACGGACTCAACAAAGTAGTGCATACACAGCAAATAAAGGCAGACAAGAATTTTCCATATAAGCTGTTTATCAACAGAAAATTTGGTTTTCAACTATTTTTTTCTCTCACAAAAATTGTCTGCTTTCTATGGAAAATGTTTGGGTTTTATCATCTCTCAAAAATTTCAATTAAAATTAAACTTTTCAAGTTTTGTAGGAGATTTCAATTGGGAAAACAATTTTGGACCTGCTCTATAAGCAAGATATGCTGGGTGACGAATACAGATTCCAACAGCTCTTTTCAACTGCAATTAAAGGAAGGCCTAGTTTCTCATAAATGACTACTGATTTTGACTCTCCAACCTAAGACACTTTAAAGAGAGTCTCATCTTCAGAGAGTGGGTGCTCAGCCCTTTCTGGAAATCATGTTTCATTTAGGTCTCAAACCGAGCATCCCAAAATAAAGGTGCCCACATTCACAAATTACTTTTGAAATCTTTGGCCTGAGTTTTCAAACATGTCCCAAATGCATGAGTATGGGGGAGAGTCCCCTACACTCAGATCCTGACCCAAATGTGAGATGAACAGGACTACAATTTTATTCCAGACTTATCTCTCTAATGCAGTGCAACAGCTTTTCAAACAGCACATAATTTATAATGCATTCATACATGAGCATCACTATAAATTCAAACACGTATTTAAAAAACAGGACATGGGTTATGTGCACAAACGGTTTGCTTCTCTCTTTTTTTTTTTAGACCAATAAAACACACTTAAAAAGGGCTCCATGAGCACAATCTGCTCATTTATTTTTCTTGGAAACTTTCAGTGTCCTTAACTCCTTTTAGACCCATAAGAGGTGAATGATTAAGTTGAAACTATTATCTTTGAACACAACATCTCGGCTGGCAGAAGGCCAAGCTGAGAGGAAAAGTGAACTGAGATAAACAAGATACAGCTATTGTGTTTGACTTGTTCTTGCAGTTATTAGCTGAGAAGACTAGCCAGGCTGAAAAGTAGTCTATGGGTGGAGATTGTCAATGAGACTGCAAATTTTGGAAGATTTTTTTTGCTGGCAGAAACGTAAGCATATACATAAACAAGATAGGTCAAATCCAACTTTTGCTGCCATTCCATCATTTTCAGTGCAGTTGTGACCACTTACATGAGGAACGATCTGGCACTATGTTGTATTTGAGACTTCAGAGACGTAGTTAGTTGTGTTAGTTTGAAGTCAGTCAGAAGGCAGGCCTCTGGCACCCACCAAAAAAAGAGGAAAGCATTGCCAATAAAACACTACAATTTGCAAGTGACATGGCTTGTTCCAGGATATGTCATCTGTTATTATTTCTGTTTATTTTTTGTACTTTTGTGGTGCCAAGGAACCCTCATCATGGACTGGGATTCCACCATGCCTTGTTCTGAAAAAAAAAAAGAACAAAAGGACAGTCTCTGCCATAAAGAACTGGCACTCTTAAGTCTCATGCCTACAACATGGGACCAGCCCAGAATCCTTGGTTATTTTCAGGCCCTGCCACATACCCATTGTGTGACGTAGCAAAGTCAATTAACTTCTCTGTGTTTTAGTTTCTCCATCTGTCAAATGGGAAAATATTTTTCTTCCTCATAGGAGTATTACAACGCTTAAATATTTCATCCTAAATTGTGACTTTAACTCACAGCCCTCAGTGGCAGAGTGGCAACACTAGGCTTTTATCTATACTAGGAAAATTAGGACTCAGATTCATCAACTGTCGAAAACATGCGCACGCTTCTACTGTTGTGCCATCTACTTGTGCTTGGACCAGGCAGAAATGACAGTTACAGCCTCACCATGGCTCCAACCATCAGAGTGGCACTGATAAAAAATTAAAGAACGGGATTTTCTTAGTGTAGGCTCAACCAAAGAGGCATTACATCTAAGTACATTTCTGTTGTTGTTGTGAAATCACTTTGGGCTTGTTTCAGGGAAGAGGTACAGGCGACACTGCATCTTCCTGTCTTTGAACATTTACAACCAAAGGAAAGAGTTGCATTCAACCTTTCTCTGTCTTGACATTCAAAATCCATTTCTATGGCTATGAAACATATAGTACCACCCCTGGTAAAGGATCATAAAAGGGTAGATCATTAGAAATAAAAAAGCACAGATTCTGAGCTGCAGCTAAAGAACTGTTATTTAGCCCAGCATTTTGCAACCCTAAAGTGGATTGCAAGAATATATGAAAGGGTCACGGACAAACTTTAAAAATGGATCAACAAACTTTAAAAATGGATTCTCTTTTACAGGAAAAAAACATGGGAAACCGTGGATTTTCCCTTGCAGGTTGACAGAGTTCCAGCCCACAAGGGGCTGCTTACAGACCCCCGTGTCCCACACACACCTCCCCTCCCGCACACACCCACCTCCTGCCCCACACACTGGGGGGCTGGGGCCTGGGGGCAGTGGGTCAAGAGTGAGGGGCACTGGGTCAGGACTGGCTATTGATGTTTACAAATGGGTCCTGATACAGAAAAAGTTGAGAATCACTGCTTTAGCCAAAAGGGGACAGGCTCAAAGGTGACTTTACGTAATTTTTGCATGCCTCTGGTCTTGGGCTGCCTTACACTGGACTGGGTCTTGGCACAGTTCTGCATAGCCTCAAAGCTGCCCTATTCTGTGCTGCCTGCCAGCAGGTCAATTTTGGTAGCCAGGAACTGTTAGGGTATATGGACATCCCAGCCACATCATCTTTTCTTAGGCCATGCCCCTGTGTTAGCAGCCAAAAGGAAGTGTCAGTGATTTTCCTAAGCAGATGGAAAATTGGTCTGCCAAGGTTGGTGGATCCCAGACTTTTAGCATGACTTTTAACATGGAGCCCCATGGGACTAGTTTCCATGCTATGTCTGTGAAACCTGTATCTCCTGGAACACAAGTCTTGTTTTGTTCATCCTCATTTTCTTCCTTTTATTAAAGCAAATCTAAATTTGTCTTGACACTGTTCTTTTAACAGACATATAATAAATCAGACATTTTAATGGGATAACCCTGGTTTCTTGAGCCAGATACATTCCCCCATTTCCTGGATGAGGATGATGACCATCAGTACAAACATTACATTTCTGCTTCACTTGGGCATGAAGTCAGCAGACTACAAGAGTCTCCATCTGGAGTCATTTTACCACGCTAAAGCCATCCTACAGAAGCAGCCACTGCTTGCTAATATAAAAATACTTGGGAAAAAAAGCTGTAAGTTTTATTAGTTTAGTTGGGGGAGGAGGGGAAGCACTATTCAAGGCTTCCATTAACTTTTATGAATATCTCCAAAAGATGTATTTTTATAGTAACACTGAAGCAGAGAAATAAAAATTGAGTTTCTTGATGCAATTACAGTCTCTCATTAGAAGCAACTCTAATGTGTCAAGAGCCAAGCCCTACTACTCACCT